TTGCTGCTCAGATAATTTCTTGGTCTTTTAAGTGGTTTAAAAAGCAGTGAATAAATGGACCCTTTCACAATATTTATAAGTTAGAAATGCATCTACTTTAACACTATTTATGCCCATTGAGAACAAAGCAATTGGTGTTCTGAATATTTAATTCAAATGTTTCCAATTAAGTTAGCGATAATATTCCAGACTAATAGAGTTGGTGGGATTGTTGTATTCTTTCTATACAGCAGACTATTATCTCTTAATACTTCCAATCATCCTAGTAAGAATGGGTGTGAAACAAGAGTATAATGCATTAGTTATGTATAGATGTACTTGGCAACGGATTGCTGAACTAGTCTGAAGTAATCCAGAGAGTCAAATCAACTAACTGGTTAGATGGTGGTGTCCTCATCTGGGAGAGATGGCAAAGATTGGTGGGAGCTGGTCTATGCATAGGGAAAGGGGCAAGCCATAACCTCAGGGTAATTATAGGCATAAGTAAAACAGAATAAGAGTTGGAAGGGCCCTTAGAGGTCTTCTATCCAATCCCCTGCTCAAGCAGGAGACCCTATTCCATTTCAGACAAATCATTGTCCAATCTTTCCTTGAAAACTCCAGGGTTGGAGCACCCACAACTTCTGGAGGCAGGTCATTCCACTGATTAATTGTTCAAACTGTCAGGGAATTTCTCCTTAGTTCTACATTTGTTCTCTCCTTGATTAGTTTCCATCCATGGCTTCTTGTCCTGCCTTCAGGTGTTTTGGAGTGGACTCAGTGCCTTATTATACTGATTCAGCACTGATGCCCAAAGTTTGGTTGTTGCATTTTAGTGGCCCTGAATGTTAGATTGGCCTGTAATAAATTTTCCTTCATATAGGCATGCAATAGCAAGTCTGAACATGGTTGAAGCGTTCTCAGGAATATCCCCGCATAGATTTTGACCTCAACCCCAAGGTGGAGTCATCCAGGAAATTCCAGTTGCTTTCAAATGGAGCTATATATATATATATATATATAATTGGATGTAAGACCATTGGTGAAGATGGAATGTTCATTATGGGACCACAGTTACTAGATAGCCTTTAGCTCCATGTCCTCATTGCCTGGTTGACATAGATATTAGAATTGTTAGCCTTATGGTGCTGGAGAACTTCTCTGGAACCAGGGTCAGAGTAGCCTGAGAGTTCCTGCAACTGAGTTGAGGGTTGAGAAAAAGGCCCTGAAAAATTATATTCTCTAAAGCTTTGGAGTGTTAATATAGCAATTCTGTAGTAAGTGCCTTAATTTGGAGAGATTCCTATCTACAGGTATCCTTGACTTATGATCACAATTGAGCCCAACATTTCTATTTCTAAGCAAGACAGTTTTGCCCTATTCTGTGACTTTTCTTGCCACAGTTGTTAAGTTAATCGCTGCAGTTGTTAAATTAATAACAACTTATTTGTTGTTTAAGTGAATTTGGCTTCCACGCTGACTTTGTCAAGAAGGTCACAAAAGACATTCACATAACCCTGGGACACTGTAACAATCAAAAATATTAACCAGTTGCCAAGCATCCAAATTATGATCACATGCCCATGGGGATGCTGCAACAGTTATAAGTGTGAAAAACTGTCATAAGTCACTTTTTTTCAATGCCCTTCTAACTTCGAATAGTCCCCAAATGAAATCTTTTAAGTCGAGGATTACCTGAATAGGTATCAATAATCATACTACTCTGAACACCTCGTTTCAATAAGCAAAGAAATAGTAAGAGAATACTTGTCTGATCTTGATGAACACAAATCACTGGGGCCTGATGGATTACATCCCAGAGTTTTAAAGGAGCTGGCAGAGGTCATCTCAGAACCACTGCATCATATCTTTCAAAAATCCTGGAGCACTGGGGAATTACCAGAGGACTGGAAAAGAGCTGATGTGGTTCCCATCTTCAAAAAAGGAAAAAAAAGAACAGAAAACTATAGACCAATTAGCCTAACATCAATACCTGGGAAGATACTGGAAAAGATAATAAAAAAACAGATCTGCCAACATGTAGAAACAAGTAAAGTAATAACTAGCAGTCAGCATGGGTTTATTAAAAACAGATCATGCCAAACTAACCTTATTTCATTCTTCAACATGTTTAGTTGGACATTCTTCAACTAAATTAGTAGACCAGCGAAATACTGTGGACATAATATATTTAAATTTCAGCAAGGCATTCGACAAAGTAGACCTGCTTTCTAGCAAGCTAGAAAAAAATGGAATAGATAGCACCACCACCAGATGGACTCGCAACTGGCTGACAAACTGTACTCAACGAGTAGTCCTTAACGGGTCTAAGTCTACATGGAGGAAAGTAAGCAGTGGAGTGCCACAAGGTTGTCTTAGGCCCAGTACTCAATATGTTCATTGACTTAGATGAGGGAATTGACGGGGAATTTACCAAATTTGCAAATGATACTAAGCTGGCAGGAATAGCTAACACCCAAAAAGATAGGCTCAAGATCCAGATAGATTTTGACAGACTAGAACACTGGGCTGTAGCTAACAAAATGAAATTCAATGTAGAGAAAAATAAAGTCCTACACTTTGGCAAGAAAAACCAAAAGTACACATACAGACTGAGTGAAACCAGGCTCAATAGCAGTAACTGTGAGAGGGATCTTGGGGTCTTAGTGTAGAGCAGCAGCCAAAAAAGCTAATGCAATCCTAAATTGCATTAACAGAGGGATACAATCAAGATCAAGGGAGATATTAATACCACTCTATCAAGCCTTAGTAAGACCACATCTAGAGTATTGCATCCAGTTTTGGTTACCACATTATAAAAAAAATGTTGAGACTCTAGAAAAAGTACAGAGAAGAGCAACCAGGATGATTAGGGGACTGGAGGCTAAAACATATGAAGAACGGTTACAGGAACTGGGCATGGCTAGTCTAGTGAAGAGAAGGACCAGGGGAGACATGATAGCAGTCTTCCAATATTTGACGGGTTGCCACAGAGGGGAGGAAGTGGACAAGCTATTCTCCAAGGCACCCAAAGGCTAGACAAGGAGTAATGGATGGAAACTGAACAAGGGGAGATTTAATCTGGAAATAAGGAGAAACTTTCTGACAGTGAGAACAATCAACCAATGGAACAGAAGTTGCCCTCGGAAGTGGTGGGAGCGCCATCACTTGAGACTTTCAAGAAGAGATTGGACTGCCATTTGTCAGAAATGGTGTAGGGTCTCCCGCTTGGGCGAGGGGTTGGACTAGATAATCTACAAGGTCCCTTCCAACTCTGATTATCTGTTATCTGTTATCATTTCTGGTTCTTTGCACCTGATGTTAAGTTGTGGAAAAGACGACTCGAGACCAGTTAATCTTTAGTTGCTTTTAATTTTCTTCTTGGTAACTGAACGACAATGGAGCCGCGGCAGCCTCTTTTATTGCCGCTGCTCGTGGCTCGTGGCCAATGATGGCTATTCAATTTTCCCGCCATCGGACGAACCAATCAGAACAGAACATTCAAACATTCAAATATATAACACCCCTCCCTATGTGGTACAGTCCCACCAATCAGGCCACCCCTATGTTACGTAGTCACGTAAATAGGTGGGGCTTTTATGGTTCCTATTGGACCTGTGCAATTCAGTCGTGGTGTTGTCTTCGGACTGCACGGACAAGATGGCTGTTCCTCCCGTCCTCTTCTGTGGAACCTCCTGGAAGGTGGAGTCAGCCATGGCACTCCTGCCTGGCCTTTCTGGGCTGGTTGACTCAGCTTGGCTGCTCCTGCCAGGAGTGGCTTCATGATGGTATTCCGATGCCTGCTCCAGTCCTCTGAAGTTTTCTTCTTCTCCAGGTACATGATTTTGATTTCCCCTCGGGGCTAATGGTGCTGTTAGTTGTGTGTTGTTGTTAGGGTTTGTTTTGTTATTTTTCGTGTTTGTGGAGGATCTCCCCCTCCCCTCTCATTTATGTTTGAGGGGTCTCCCCCCTCTCTGGTTTGGTTATTATTTTGGTTTAAAGTTTTATTTGGTTCTTGTGTTTGTGTGGGCTCTTCCCCTTCTTTCCTTTGGTTGTTGGTGTTTCTTAATATGGCCCTTGATCTGAGTTGGTCTATATGTCTCCTCCAGCTCTTTCCGTCGTCTGTCTCTACCCTGTATGACCGGGGTCCTGTTACTTGGATTATTTTAGCTGGTATCCATAATGGCTTCCCTGTTAGGTTTTTGGGATAGACCAGGTCCCCTGTTTTAAATGTACGGCATTTACTGGAGGAGTCTGTCGGTTTTTCTGTGCTATATGTGGGGAGTAGTCTATCTAAACTAGATCTTAGTTTTCTGCCCATCAATGGTTCTGCTGGGCTTTTATTAGTCATGGCATTTGGCGTGATGTGCTGTATTGTTAGCAATTTATATTTTTTTTACTGGATATCTCCAGCTTCTAGCCTGTGTAATGTTTCTTTGGTAAAACGGACCATGTGTTCCGCCCGTCCATTTGTAGCCGGCCGACCCGGTACTGTTAAAGCATGTCTTATACCTAGTTCGGCTAGGAACCTCTCAAATGTTAGTGCAGTGAATTGCGGTCCATTATCAGATACAACTAAATCGGCAATCCATGCATTGCAAAAAGTTTTCTTAGTTGTCTAGCCAATTTGAGTAAGCATCTATTAAGAATGTATGCCCTTTTGTTGGTCCAGCAAAATCAATGTGTATTCTAGACCATGGGCCCCTAGGTCTTTCCCAGTCAAGTACAGGTGCAGAAGGGGGTGCAGGTCTAGATTCCTGGCGTTTGCACGTTGCTACCCATTTCCTATATCCAAATCCATCCCTGGCCACCATACATAACTCCTAGCCAGGGATTTCATTCGGACAATACCTGGGTGACCTTCATGTAATAGTTTAAGTTATTTGTTCCCTCAATCTGTCTGGTATGATCACTCTATCCCCCCACAGTACACATCCTTTAAAAATTGACAGCTAAGTTTGTCTGTGCCGAAATGGTTTAACGGTCTCGTCGCTTTCGGTCTCTGGCCACCCTTTACCTACCCAATTTAAAATCCGCGCCAGGATTCTGTCTCTCGTGGTTTCCTTTGCAATGTCTGTTGCTGTTATGGGTAGGTTTGCCAGCGTCTCAATGTGCAGTGTTGATGTGGTTGGTGCAGGATCATCCTCTAACTCAGGTAGGGGAGAATGGCTCAGGGCATCAGCATGTGTTATGTTCTTTCCCGGCCGGTAGATTAATTTGTAGTTGTATGCAGCAAGGAATTCGGACCACCTCGTCATTCACGGTGATAATATGTTGGGTGTGGGTTTGTTTCCTGCGAGTATTCCTAAAAGAGGTTTACGATTGGTGACCAGTGAAAATCTCCTGCCATAGATGTACTCGTGGAACTTTTTAACTCTGGTTATTGAGGCCAGTGCTTCTCTATCCAATTGGCTGTAGTTCCGCTCCGCTTTTGCTAGAGTTTTTGAATGGAATGCGATTGGTGGTTCTCTTCCATCAGGTAATATGTGGCTGAGTATGGCCCTGACGCCAAAGGGTGACGCATCGTAGGTTAACATTAGTGGCAGGGTCTCTCTATATTGGATTAGTACACAGTCTGATGTAATTAAGTCTTTGATTCCCTGGAATGCGGTTTCTTCTCATCGCCCCGAGGTCCAGGTAGCTTTCTTATCCAGCAACCTGTGTAGTGGTTCTGCTATCGTTGCCTTCTGCGGCAAAAATACATTGTAAAAATTAATAAGCCCAGAGAAGGCCTGTAAATCTGTTTAATTTTCAGGTCTGGGAGCTCCCTTGATTGCTCTGATTTTGTTTTCAGTGGGGTGGATCCCTTCCTTATCTATAAGGTATCCCAGGAATTCAACCTTATCAGTGGCTAATTGGCATTTTTCTCTTTTAACTTTAAGTCCCGCCTCTTTAATTTTTTCTAAGACCTCACTCAAACAGTCTTCAAGTTGTTTTTCGTCCTTGGCTGATATCAGCACGTCATCAAAATATGGCACTACCCCTTTAATTCCTTGCAGTAAGCGCTCCATTAGACTCTGAAATACCCTTGGGGCCACGCTAACTCCGAATTGTAGTCTTTTGCATTTGAATGCCCCTCTATGAGTCACTACTGTTTGGGCTTCCGCGGTTTCTGAGTCAATTGGCAACTGTTGATAATCTTGCGCACGGTCTAATTTCGCGAAAATTCTACCTCCCCCCAAAGAGCGTAACAGGTGTTGTACCACCGGAACTGGGTATGCGCTTTGTTGTAGTGCATGGTTGAGGGTGGCCTTGTAGTCTCCGCAGGTGCATACAGACCCATCTGGTTTGATAGGAGTCACAATTGGGGTTTCCCACCTTGCGTGGTCTATTCGCACGCTCCTCCAGTGTCTCTTAGGGCTGTGACAAAATTGCCGATGCTCTCGTCTTCCTTTTGGTCGTGCTTGTAAAATTCGTGTCGCTTGATAAGGTATGAGACGGTTGGTGTATAATGGGCTTGTAGTAACTTGTCTAAATCCGGCCACAAAATTTTCTTTACATCGTGGGGTGAGGCCAATGCCTTTGCCATTTTGAAGACTGTGGGTCCACAGTGGGTGAGGAAAACGGCTCTCTTCCTATTGTCGGAGATTCCGTGGAGCTTGTTCCCTTCTAGGAACATGAGGAATCGGTCGATGTACGATTCCCAGTCTTCCGTTTCTGTGTTGAACGGTGTAGGTGGCGAGTTGTTGCCGGCCATCTCGTCTAGCTCAGTTCTCATTGCCACATGTTCAACTGGTCTCCTTGTCTCAGTATCCCATCCTCGTCGCCAGTGTTAAGTTGTGGGAAAGAAGACTCGAGACCAGTTAATCTTTAGTTGCTTTTAATTTTCTTCTCGGTAACTGAATGACAACGGAGCTGCGGCAGCCTCTTTTATAGCGGCTGCTCACGGCTCGCGGCCAATGATGGCTATTCAATTTTCCCGCTGTCGGCCGAACCAATCAGAACGGAACATTCAAACATTCAAATATATAACACCTGACATTTGCCACCATAAATCGGATCCAGTTCACAAGGCCCCAACATACAGTGGATATTAGATCTGGGATTTATCTGGGGCGCCGTGATATGACCTGGATGTAGAGTCCCTTGTCATGGTCAGTTCAGAGCTACTCTGCATGGGAAGAAAATTGGACCTGGTTGACTGGCCTCCCCAGGTGTCTGATTTTGTTGTGTTCAGAGATGCTTGGGGTTGTTCCTGAGACACTGGTGCATGCTTTGTTTCTATCTCCTCTACATTGTTATTTTTACAAATAACTCAAGGTGGTACAGATATTTAACACACCTTTTATCCTCGCAACCTAAGGTGACCTAGACCGAGAAAGAGGGAGGGCCCATAATCACCCAGTGGCTTTCATGCTGTGGTGTGGAAAGGGAACTTCACGAAGACAGTAGTGTCACAAAAAAACAGGAAAAGACCAAGGGGAACATCAGGTCAGCCAGAAAACAAACTTACATAGGAAAAGGAATCAAATAAAAAGTATTAAAGAATCCCTATAGACAAAAGCCTAAGTAATTAAGAAAACTAGAAAGATAGGAAAAGAAAACAAAAGATAATTTAGAAAACCCTTACAAACACAGGACATACCAAGTAAGCAAAACAAACAGACAAAAGACACAAAAAAATATAAATTGCAAAAGGGACAGACAGGAGATTGCCACAGAATATGAAAAACTATTTTAAAGCTAAAAGAGATTACAGAAAACCAACAATACAATCTGGCCACACTGCGGAGTTTGCCTTCTGTACCCCGCGGAGTTTGCCCTTTGGCGGGAATAAAGACAAACTCAAACAGGATTAGAAACATTAGGCACAAATTACAAACACTCACACAAAATCAACTTACAAAGGGAGAAAAGGGTATAAAAAAACTAGGGACTTACCATAAGAAACTAGCTAGCCCAGGAACGCAGACTTCTCGCTGTTCTCCGCCTTCCTGAAAAATAAAAAGAACCAGCTTTCAAGCAGTTGTCCGTATCCTTGCGCCAGAGCTCTCCCAGTGGGAAAATCGAATCCTCAAAAGAAAGGCATTTTGACACCTTTCAACAATGCCTAAGGCAGGACTAGAACTCACCATCTCCTGGTGATTGGCCCAGAATCACTCGACTTTTATGCCTAAGGCAGAAATTGAACTCCTGCTGTCCAATGGTACCTTAACCACCAAACCAAACTGGCTCACATTGTGACTGGGCTTTGAATCATAGTTTGGACCGAGAAGGCAACAGCTGCCTTGCATTAAGGCCTCCCTGTCCACAGGTCCCATGTTTTTTCACAGGACTTTCAGTAGAATGAAACAGTTGGAAGTCCGATGGACAAGACAAGCAAATCCAACCAAATGTATCAAGTCTGCAAGCAGCCCCAATGAAGGCAACCCAGAAGCCTCATGTGGGGGGGGGGGGGCAGAGGAAGTCTCCCAGGTAGAGTGTGAAGTCTACTGAAGATAGCTAGTAAAACGTGAGCTGCCATCTGGCTGTGTAGAGTTTGAACAGTTGACCTCTGTAATCCAAGTATTACTTCATGACAAAGTAAGCCAAAGATTAGCAGGCAGTTATTTATACAGACACGATTTTGAAGTCTGGTTTAACTTTTTCTGGAATTTTCTTTAGCTGATGAGTACTACTTATTTCCTCGTTACAGAAGACATTGTATTTTTAAAAAACAATTTGAATATTAATTCGTCTGAAATTACGGTTACATATGTTGAGGGGTGACAAGGGGCAATAATTATTGGATATTTTTTTAAAAAATTCTCGGTAGCTTCAGACAATCAAAATCACGAAAAGGGTTCAAAAGGGCGAAAAATTGAAACGGCGGGAAATGCGGCCCGAAACGACCCGAAGGCGGAGCTTATCTCAATTGTGATGACGGAGTGCAGTGGACCCGAAGCACCGCGCCCTCCCGCTGCAGCCGCCTCCAAATCTCGCGAGATGAAAAACAATCTCGAGCGCGGTTTCACAATAACCGCTGCTATAGCAACCGCGCAAAACACACCCACGCGTAACGCCCCTTTTTCTACTCAGTCCCGCCTCAGTGCCTGAGTTAAAAAGGAGACAACAGTCCCCGCCTCTAAAGGTGGGACTTCCGGGAGGTTTTTAAAATCTTCCCTCGGATATGACCACAGAGTGTCAACATGTAAGATGGCGGCTCATCACCGACAGAATACAGCGGGGCGGCGGAAAGTGCAGGTGAAGGAGGCGAAAGGGGCGCCCGGGCGGGAATAGAAGCTGAAGGGAGGGTGAGGGAAGACCATCGTGGCCGAGCTAAGCTGATCGAAGCGACGAACGATCGAGCGGCGTGGTGGCTTGTCGAGCAGAACAACAGGCGAAGGGCGGAGTGGACAGGCGGCTTTCTCCCCCTCGCCTCCCCTCCTGTGTGGGGATTCGCCTTGTATTACCTCTCGGCCCCGAGGCCGAGGATTATGGGGCTTGCCCCACCCGAGATCTGGCGGGTGTCACGTTGGGGAAGGTGGAAAGATTGTTCGGCTTCCTGCGTTGCTCGGAGCCGTAACAGTTTTCTGCTGTGAGAGGTGGCGTGTGGCCTTTTATTTCCCCCGTGACACACCACTCTTCCTCGGCCCAAGCTGTGAAAAACAACAATAACCCCCAAGTCCTATCTACCTCTGAATTGGGTGGCCTACTTCGCTGCCCAGAGTCCACTGGAGTTGGGCGGCTAAAAAATTCAGAACAAAATGACAGAGTGGGGGGAACCTTGTAGGTCATCTAGTCCGACCCCCCCCCCAACAGGAGACCCTACACCATTGCTGACAGATGACAGTCCACTTGAAAGCTTCCAGTGATGAAGCTCCCACATTCCATGGGTTGATTGTTCTCACTGTCAGAAAATTTCCTCCTTATTTCCAGGTTGAATCTCTCTTTGTTCAGTTTCCATCCATTATTCCTTGTCTGGCCTCCAGGTGCCTTGGAAAATATGTTGACCCCCTCTTCAAATAATGATGTCACAGATCTAATATAATATGAGAGTTGAGGTGGGTCACAAAGAAAAATTCCAGACAAAGACTGGGGAGTCTCTCCATTTCACCTTGAAACTCGGTGAGGGATCTTGTGTTCTGAGCCTACCTTACAGAAAACAAAAAGTGGAATATTGAGTCTCCCCACTTGCAGTCTGGATTCTTACGGGTTTTATATATACTACTTTGGGTTTTAATGAATCAATTTTCTTCCAGTAAAAAATACCCCAAAGATTAAAATGTGAAGCTGGGTATATTAAACCCAGAATAGGCTTCACTCTATCTTTGATATC